AAGTATATACACTTATTAAATTTTGCAGCGAAATTATAAAAAAAACATTTATTTTGAAACAAAAAATTTTCTCTACAACGATATATAAATTGAAATGGAGGAAATATGATCTTAAATTAATAGATTAGATGAGCTGCCCACTTATGTAATGCTCTAAATTAGTTAATATACTAGGGTTAAAAATTAAAAAAAAAATATATTTTAAATTAATCATATTTAACAAATTTATTGGTGACTGAAAATAATAAATTTTCAATATTTGTTTTTGTTGTTCTTGTTAGAAAGCACATGCTTGTAACTTTTTTAATTAATGTAATTTTTATTTTTATTGTTTTGGTATGTTTTTATTATAAAATAAGGAAAATATTCATAAACTATTTAAATCCAATACATAAATCATTTATTTTCTCTATTTTATACATTTATTTATAGATTTTTAGTTATGTTTTTTGTTCTATAAACAATTGATTATTTCTCTAGTAGTTGATCCGTGATTTGCATGAATTTGTTTTCTATTATATATTTTTTTAACACTTATTATCATTATATATGCATTTTTTTATTTAATTACTATTTGTATCAATTTCTATTAAAATTGTTTAATGCTTTGATATTCGGTCTTACTCTTGTTGCAAAAACTTAATTTCATAATAAGATTATGGATATACTTTAGTGAGACTAAGACTATTTTTATTTTGGAACTATAGATTTTTTGGTGTATTTTTCTTATTTTAGATTATATAGTTTGATTTATCTTATTTTATATAGTCTCTGTTTGTGTGTTTACAAATAGTCTGTTTTTAATTTTCATGTACATATTAAATTTATGCTTGAAGATTTTAGGGAATTCATAACATACAATTTTTCTTTTATAACATTTATTTAGATATACAATAATCTTTTATCTTTTGTTATCATAAGAAACAAAATTTATCGCTTGTTCATTATTGTTTTATCTATTATATATTATTTTATGTTTTTCATTAATTGTTATTGAAGTTCTTCATTTTAATTATGTATTGTTTTTGGCTATATGTTGTCATTAATTTCTTATGAACAAGTAGATATCAAGTTTTATTTCAATGTGTTTGTTAGCTGGTAATTTCCCCAAATTAAAAGTTACTAATGAACACACAATGCCTAATACTTATAAGTATAACTTAAGATTACGGTAATATCACATTTATACTTCAGATCAAGTTAGGAATCTGAAAATTTCAGTAGGCATAGGCCTAATAAATGTTGTTTTCTTAACTAAAGAGGTTTCATTAATGGAGAAAGGGACATCCAACATCCGGAAATTGCGGTTGCTGCGCGTTACATCAAACCCGCTCAACCTGTAGACTAACCTTTGGCTGAGAAGCTGTCTGAACATGAATTGACGGTTCGCATTAACAAAACTTTGAATAACTGTTATTTTGTTTTAAACAATCATAATGGAACCATCATCAACAGCGTTAATCGAAAAGGAGAAGATTATATTATCATCGATGAGGAACATGTCTAGACTCATGAGCTCACCACCTTTCCTCACATTTCTGGCCTCCCAAAACCTCAGCAAGTGAACTTCGGTAGTGTTGGAGCAGCGCCCGACTTTCAAATCGGCAAGGAGGATGGAATAAATCATCATTGTAGCAATCGGAGAGTTGAACAAACTTTTTCTGTAATGCTCGTCGAAGCTGTGTTGTTCATGTTTGCAAAAGAGATATATATATACTTACATCTCTACATGGTTATTGTCGGGATGCGATAAGGTGGCTTCAATGATTCGGAGTGAGTTGATCACTTATAAAATAAGAGGAAAGAAGGTGTGAATTAAGCGTGTTTCAGGACGTTATGGAGATTTGACAATTTATTTTGATATCTACAACTATCTCTGGCTGATCTAGAGATCTCAAATAAACATGACGAACAAACCTATAATATTAAAGGATCTCTATAATCCGAAAGTTTAAACAAAATCTACAACAATAAAAGCCCAAAACAAATATGCATTTTACCAATAATATATTTTATCTAAAATAATATAATTTTTTTCTTAAGCCCAACAAATAATTTCTTAAACTTTAATAAGGTGACACATTACATTTTTTGCTCTCCAGTGAAAAAAGACTAACTTTATTATATAAGATATATATATATATATATATATATATATATATATATATATATAGAGAGAGAGAGAGAGAGAGAGAGAGAGTGTGTTTGAAAAAAAATTATTGCAGTTAACTGGTAATCATTGTATGAATTTAAAACTAGCTTTTTTTTTTTTTTTTTTTTTTTTGAACACAGAATTTAAAACTAGCTTACATTACAAAATTCATAACTGTTTGGAGAAAAAGTTATCGATATTTAAGAAAAAAATCAATTTTAGCTTTTTACTATTCAAATAATATTTAAAAATTTAATTTAAATAAATAATTACACATATATTATTCATAATTGTTATGTTAATAGATGTGTTTGACAATTTCTTATCAATGTTAGAGTTTGTATAATTATTATTTCATTTTGGTGGATATGTGTTGTATAAAAAAAGAAAATCATGTCCATTCATCTACATTTAGGAAGCGATATAAATTCCAAATTAATATATTTACTAGGTGTTTACCCGCAATTTTCCAGATAATTATATTATATGAAGAAATATATATATTATGTTTACATTGTTATAATTTTGAATAATAATTAGACATTTAACATTTTTAATTTTTACTTAAATAAAAAAATAAAAAATTATAGTATATATTTTAGAAGATTTGTGAGATTTAAAAATAGTTCATCAACATAAACCTTAGTCATTAAAAAACTTATCTTACAGAAAATCAATATTATAATTAAGTTCAAATAATTAGTTGTAGAAATATTTTATATTTTATATTAACATGTGGAAAACAAAAAATACTATCTTTCAACAAAAAAGTTTGTTTTTGTGTAGCAATAGGACCAATATAATGATCGGGTGCTTTTATCATGAAGATCTGTTGTACACGTTTTTGTGTGAGTTTTAATAACATAAAAGCTCTTATAACTCCTTACCTACAGATCTAATTATTTTGTAGCGTATATTATCATTAAATTAGTTACCATAAATCATTATTTATAATAGTCTTTGTGTTATTTGGTAATTTGTATTAATTAGTTCTATAGGTACTTTTATTTATCTCTTTAAAACTAAGGATTAATTTGATTAAGATAAACATGAAAACATGTATTAGGAAAATTGTAGTTTAAACAATTTTTCTCATAAATTTGTTAAATCACAAATCACATATTCTTACTCATTTTTATTTAGTGTTTAACGTAAAACTCAAATGATTTAAGCAAACACATTCTTCCTTAAATTATCTCAGATCATTACACTATTTTATCAAACAATAATCCATTGGGCCATATTTTTTTTATTAAAACTAAGCTTAGTTTAGATATCTTTTAAAAGTATTATTTTATTTATTTGAAAATACTTTAAAACATACATATTTTAATTAACTTTAATTAACTCTAATTAACTTATATACATAAAATAAAAAATAATAATTAAAATTTTAAATAACGAAATTTTATTGTTTTAGGAATATATAATTATATTAATGAAAGATCATTAAATCAAAATAAACTGTTTTATTTTGCATAAAATTTATTAAAGATCATTATCTTATATTTTAAAAGTTTATTTTACCGGAAAAATATATCTCATTGTTTAAAAATATTTTTTTCTTACTTTCAATTTACAATATATTTTCCATCTTTGACTTGAACAATTATAAAACTGGTTATTTTATTGATCTTCATTAATTAATTTATCTTAACATTTTAAAACACACATAAAACTAATTAATTCATATTTATAGTAAGACAAAAAATTCATGTATATTGGCAAACAAATAAAAAATAAATACATAAGAGTATAAAAGAACCAAAAACACAACAAACATATTTTATTATTCTTCTCCTATTTTTATTTATGTCTCTTTTCTTTTTTTTCCAATTAAAAATAAGCATGATAATTTTATTATATTCAAAGCTGTATGAATAATATTAATAGAGTATTAACTCTAGGAAATCATGTGGAAAATACTGTGATCGACATTATTTTAAATGACTTAACATGTAATAATTTTAAATGAATTACCATACAATATAGTTCAAAATATCTTACCATATAAAAATTTAATTCATTTTTATGTTAATAGATAAATTAAATATTTTTTTCTTGATGAATATAATTTTAAATGGCTTGCCATATAATATTAATGTTTAATAAAAATATTCTAATCATTATTGACATTGGAAAATGATTAGAAGTTTTTAAAATAATATATTTGACTGTTTTGCATTATTTGACACATTTTTAGAATATATATATATATATATATATATATATATATAATGAATGAGTGAATTTGATTAATATTATAAAGTTTAGATCAATTACTTTTCGGAAATCTATGATTTATTGTCTTCACTACTAATAAATCTATTAAAAACTATTTTTATAATTGTTTCTGTAGTATCAGGTTTATTTATATGTATATTATTAATTTATATAATATAATATTTGATATTAAATTTTTTTCTATAAATAGATTATATTAATTTATCTATATTAGATGTTTAATTGTATGTTTGGAAACATATATTTAATTAAGTAATTCTAGGATTAATATCCTTTTAAAATTTTAATTAAATAAATATCATCAATCAATTAAATTATAATAATTAACTAGAGCGACACGTCAACAGAAATAACTTAAGTTATTTATCAATTAATATATATGAGGATTTTTTCATCAGTAAAACAGAACATATGTAATAATTTTCATTTTTTTTTGTTGTAACTGGTTAGTTTTAGATGATGTCCAACTGAATAATGCATTTCGAGAAGATTTATCCTACTAAAAAAAGATTTTTTTTTTGATAATCGAGTGTCCTGGCCCTACTATGTGATCCAGATTAGAGATCGATTCTTGTGTGGACGCACACCCGAAGGTGGGTACTAGTTAGGTGAGCACGATCTTCAGTTTCGGGCGCTGGAGAGTCCGCATGTAAATCCTCCAGTGATTGGATTTCGAACCCAGATGGCGAAACTCACAACTGTGAGCCTTTACCACTTGGACTACGAGCCGGTTAAAAAAAAAAAAAAAAAAGTAACTTTCTAGTTGAAGCCACTGCGAGAATCCAAAAAAATATTGAATCCAGTGGAGAAGTCATTAAGTTAAATATATTGACTAAATCTAAAATTCTGAATGACGAAATACTTTATTTTTTATTAACCTTACATAATGGTTCGCATGTTGTATATAATTTATATTTGAAAAAAAAAATCGTGAAATCATTCATTCTACGATGCATTCCACGAATAATCAATCAAGATTATTAGTATATTTTTTCTTAATAATCATACTCACATTTACCATAGCTTGGATCTTTAAAAACGAATATACCGGTATTACCGAAATAACATGCTTTTTCGGTACGTCCGTTATATACGTAATACTTATTCATTACAAATGATGCATGGCTTCTAAGATTATTTGGTTCAAAGCAGGTACCGCCCGGTTTGATTGGTATACAGTCAACATGTCCATGGCCACACAACCAATCAATATTAGCTTGCATTTGTGCATCTGTCGCTGATGGAGATACCACACACCACTGACCTGCACTTGCAAGGGGAAGGTGGTCGATCACAACGATCGATAGAATGAGGAAGACGAGTGCTGACCGGAGACACATAATTTCAGTGATATTCATTTTAAAAAAACTTCTGGATGTTTATGTGAATATGTACAGTTGTGCTTATCCTTATATATGGTTTTAACTAATATATTCTTCCTCAGACTTTAATTATAAATAAATGACTTCTTAGAATAGAATATAGTCAAAATATTTTTCTCATATAAAATGGAAAATGATCAAAATTTAATAGTAACACATCATCTTACACATAAATAATATCATACTTCATATTAATTTTTTTAAATAATTTCAATAAACTTAGATAGATTTGACTAAAATAAATATAGAAGGTAATTTTCATATTATATACCATAAACATAAACTGATAAAATAGTGTATAATTTAATAAAAATAATGTAATTTATAAGATTAGTCATACTAACATAAATATTAATGAATGATTTGAAGAGACTAGGAAAATGGTAAATCTATGAATAAGAACAAGAAAAAAAAGAAACATAAAATTTAAAAACATAGATTAATTTTATCTAAAACTGTACATGGATTACATCTCTCGAACAAACTGAGAGGTTGATTGTTTGTGTTTTTTGTTTTAGTTTTTGTTCTTTAAAAAAACTATTTTTCTTCCAATCAAGTTTTTGTTTTTAGTTTTTTCTTTTGTACAAACCATTTTTCTTGCCAATCAAGTTTTTAAACACAAAGATTCCCTAAAACTTAGGGAAACTAGTTTTTCAAAATTTTAACCAATTTGTGGAGAAAAGCAAAAAAACCCATCTTTTGTGAGTTTTTAATACAAAAATGAATTTCATTTCTTTTTTATAAAATCTATATTTAAATTAAATAAATAATATTTCATAAAGATAAAGTACTCATACAAATTTTGTAGATAATATATCAATTTAAACCTTATTTTAAAATATTTATTTGTGTTTCGTATATGTAAGTAAATTGGACTTTTTTATATAACATTAATTATTACAAAAATAATTATTAATTTCTATAAAAAATAAGTTATTAACTTCTATAAAATTCATAGAATAATTGTAATAATTATTAGATAGACTAAGGTCATGATTGTTTTCATTGTTTTTAGTTTTTAGATTTTGGTTTTTGGTTTTTGATTTTGCAGTAGATTTTAGTTTTTCAAAAAAAACATGAATGGTGAATTTAGGTTTTGGTTTTTAGTTTTTGGTTTTAACTTTTAAAATAATAAAATGAAAATATTATTAAGAATAAAATTTTATTCTGGAAATAATAAAATATAAAAATACCATTACCAAAAGCTTATTTGAAAATAAAAAACAAACCTAAAATAATATAATTCTATTTTTAAGCATAAATATAAAATTTAATTCTATGTTTAAATATAATTTATATAATTTGTATTATAAACTTGTACAATTAGTATGTGTTTTTATCCAATAAAAATTTAAGTAAAATGTGTAGAAAAAATATTTTAATAAACATTTTCATAACTATAATATATATATATATATATATATTCATTAGTGGTTAACTACAGAAAATTAATTCTATGTGCACAATTTAAATATATAAGCATTACTATTTTGTAAATTTTAGAATTAAAGAATTGTAATATATATATATATATATATATATATATATATATATATTTAAATTTAAATTTTAAATAAAAATTAACAAATATTTCTAAATTGTAGAAAATATAAGTGTACACATATGGTATATTATATAATAATATTCATGTTTTTGAATAAACTAAAAATTTATATTGTAAAACATTAGCAAAAGAATGAACTTTATTAAACCACTTTATATAAAATAATAAATATTTTGTAAAAAATAAAAATAATTAAAATGTAACAAAATTATTATACTTATACATAAAACATTAATTAGTTTGCTATAGTTTCTATTAAAACATTAATAAATTATGAGTGGCTGGGACTGTATTGTCAAAACTGTATTTCTAACACTTTGCACAAATATACTAGACTATAAAAATACTCAACAAAAATTTTTTTTTACTATACTAATGTTGTTACATGTATTTGGACAGTAGCTTTGTTATTGATTATAGTAGCCTTGTTATTGATTTCTGAGTATTATTACCAATTTCCTTAGATTAATATTTATTAAATAGCAGTTTTAGAAATATAAATTACATAAATAAAAAATCCATCGACTAGAAACTGGAAAATCTTGGTTGGTTTTTGTTTGAAAATATGTAGTTATGTTAAAAACTAGTTTCCCTAAGTTTTAGGAAAACAATTTTTCAAAAAGCTTGCTTGGATAAAAATTGGTTTTTAGAAAAACAAAAACCAAAAACTACTTGAAAAACAGGAAACAATCAACCTCTAAACAGAAGATCAACAAAGAGATTTGTGATTAGAACTCCATTGTTTTCTATCTATTTATCAATACTATGCAGTTTTATTTATTTGTTTGTTTGTTTTATGAATTGCTTAGTCATCTGAGTAGTTCACTTGTTAGAATTATGATTTAAATAGGTTAGAGGGATTAGTCCCAACTATAGGATTGCTTGTTGAGGTATTCATTAATATGATGTCTTAATTCTCATATTCTAAACTTGCTAACTAGAAACCTGAATCTAGGATTGTTATGTTGTTTAGATATCTTTAAATAATTCTGATAGTCTTGAACACATCCTGATTAAGCTAGGATTTTGCTAGAAATACATCGAGAGTTTGATCTAGGGATCCATAATGAGTCTTTGTTAAATCGCGTGTAACGCTTGACTAGACGCATCGATCTATATTCCCATCAGAAATCAATTGACGTGGAGTAAAGTGAATCGATCGACATTCCTCTAGAATAATCGATCGACACTGTCATTGATCAGACATCTAGGTCAATAGCATTCTACTCAATATGCTTATTTATTAAATGAGAGTTTAGTAAATTTGTTGTTAAGATAGTTAATGCTCTTTAATACCATGCAAAAAACTAGCACCTATAGGATTATAATCTCGAACACCTGAATAAAAGCTCTAAGTCTAACACCTTTCCATTTTATTTTCAAAAACTTTCATTCCAGTCTTGTTAAGTAATTGTCTTGCTTAATTAGAATATTTCATGTTTACTTGTCTACTGTGTTTTACTATTTTTATTCACCTAGATTATTGATTAATTAGATTTAATAGGTTCCATAGCTCCTTGTGGATTTTGATCCCTAAGTACTGCAATAGATCTCTTATTTGAGAGAGTAAATTGGTCCGTATGGTAAATATTTGAGCTAACATCAAATATCATCAGGTGGGTATCGATTGATGCAGTCTAGTACGTGTCGATCGATGGTGTAGAGAGGATATTGATCGATTTCATCATGTTCGTGTCGATTGATGCTAGATTTTGGTGAAGTCTCCAGATCTCCTCTTGAAGTATGATGATCATCACCAACCTTCTCTTCTAAGTCTTGATCCATATCTTCAAACCATTCCTCTAGCTCCATACTGACTTTCCTACTTGAATCCAAATCCCCAAGTTGTTCTCTATCCTTTTGTTCCAAGAGAATTCCCATGGTAATTTTTTTGTATACATCTGGAGCATGAAAACAACTTGATACATCATTTATCGGTAGTGCCGAGTCTACAATGTCCTGAAGACAACTTGATATTTCATGGATGTCAAATGGTATCGATCGACAACCGCGGTTATAGTCAATCGGTTATGAGGTCTTAGGATCGATCGATGTTGAGATTCTCGTGTCGATCGGCGCGGAAGGCGGAGCACTGATATCAGCTTCTTCTACTCTGCTCAGCTCTCCAGATCCATGATATTCATCATCCATTCTCAAAGCGTACTCGACTAGCTGTCGTGGAACATATTCTTCACTCTTTATGCGCCAAATCTCCATGATCTATTCCTATTTATCATTCTTCTTCTTTTCTTGAGTTGCTTCAATCACTACAGGAAAAACCCCTATTAGTAGCGTCCGAAAAACGCTACAGATATAAATTGTAGCGGTTTTAAAAGCGCTATGAACGTACACGCGAGCAAAAATTGTAGACTTTTTGTAGCGGTTTTCGAGAATGCTATGAAATCTTATTCTTTGATAGCGGTTCTTCTCTGCAATTATTTTATTTATAATAGTGGTATTTATTTGTTACTATAAAGTTATATGCTGTAAATGTAGCGTTATTACTTTTGCTATTGACTGATGTGCTATATATTATGAACAACGAGAATCTGGACAGTATTGGTTCAATTTAGACATGAAATAAATAACACTAGGATATCAGATTGAAAGCCAAAGTATATCATACATAATTAATAAAAAGATATCCAACAACAAGTTCATTCTCTAATTCAACAGATAATGAGGAATTCATTAGGCCAAGCTATTGGAACACCTAAAGCATCATCAATGAACTGAATCTCTGAATTTCCTCTCCAAACAGGTGCTTCTCCAATTTTAACGACATCGACCCATACCTTGCTTGCATTTGGACCCAAGGGGACAAAATGAACTTTAGCTTCTGGATCGGTTGAAAAAACTCTACCTTCAACCACCTTATTGCCTGATCCTTTGCAGTCTAAGAGGACACACTTTCTTTTACCACTTTTGCTGCTATCAAAGCTGTGACTTACACTCTTGCAATGACAATTAGAGACAGTTCATCAAATGGCAATAAACACAGAAATTAATTACTTAAGCTTTAAAACTGAGAGGCTTTAGAATATTACCTTGGGAGAGCTATTCTTTGATATCGTCTCCTTCATGGCTTGCTGACTAATTTGTTGAATCTTATTCAGAGGCCATGGGATTTTCATCTTAACTGCATGACTCATCAGAAAGATTTCATCAGAAACTGGTCTCCATTGATATGCATCTTCAACAACTGCCACATCAACCTTCACAATAGCAGCACCTGGACCTAGTGGGATGTTGTTTACCAGATCATCTGGGTCCGTGGAACACAAACGACCCTCAGCAACAATTACACCAGTTGAATGTTTATCTTATCATCACTTGTCACCTTAGCAGAAAAAAGAAGTAATAAATTCAACTTTCAGTTTCACATACATATTAACAAAAGAGACCGAGAAAT